AATAGCAAATGGCTCACAAACCCTACAATCATCAGAGCTGCTAAATGCACAACGTAAAGAAATAAAGCCACCCCGAGTCAAATCACGACTCCGAACCTTGTGGGGGGAGGGGAGGAAATCGTGACAAGCCTAATGATGTCCATTCAGTGACCGGACGCTGGCACTCAACGAAAACTACAAATATATCTGCTGGATCTACTTCAGGGCGTGGTGGCTTACCCTGTCCCACTCCCAGTCCACACTGACCCAGCACGTAGCACCCAAGGGCTATGCCTGGCCATAGTTAGGTTCCACTATTTTGTAACTGGGAGAAAGCATCAAAGCATGTGTTGAGTGAGGCTACACGGATTGGCACAGCAATGTTCTAGGGACATCAATGGTGGAGCCACAAGCGTATGGTCTGTTCAACTGCTGCAGTGGTTCTAGAGGTACAACGTATGCAATACATTCCCGATTAATAATCATGGAACGTGCAACAAAGTATGCAGCTTAAGTGCTTTATGAAATGCGTCGAGTACCGGAAACGGCTCTGCACACCACGTGGGTTGCCACGGCACGTGAATTCACTACGGTCGATCATATCACGACATGTACAAACGCCAGTCATTGTCAACCCACCTCACTGCATTTTTAACAACAAATACAGACGCACCGTTACCCAAGACGCACAACAGTCCTGGGAAACGCGATGGCCTGTGCGGACATGGGGGAGAGATGTGACAATGCAACTTGATAATTAAAGCCAACCAGCCAGGGATCCGATGAGCGACAATCTCAACGCACAATCTGCAGGGTGGCAAATTTGCGCTAAGTTGACAACAGTGGTAACGAGGACGCTGCGGCGATACCGTGGTTCCAAACGCGATCGCACAGACGCCTAAATAAAGGTATTGCAACCTGTATCTTTGTTTTCGCATAACAAATTAAACTGCCGATTACTATACGGACATGAATCCGGACATTTTTCAAACGCATCATGCATTTACATTGTAACGCTACATACATTCATAACAAAGGATTTTTGGTTAGATCGCGTAAGTATGTGTCGTAACCCTCCACCTCCCGACAGTCAATTAGTCAGGGATTTGTCACTTCAACAAAGCGCCAATTAGTTATTTCAGCCCACCGGTGTGTTAGAGTAAATCCACAACATTTACAATTTGAGTAGCACGACGTTTCGCTGGTAATTACATCCATCTGGCAAATTGATTCTGGCAAATCGCCCGATGATGCTGGATGCAATTACTAGCGAAACGTCGTGCTACTCAAATTGTAAATGTTGTGGATTTACTCTCCAACACACCGGTAGGCTGAATTAATAATCGGCGTTTTAATTACGTGATAAATCCCTTACTAATTGCCTGTCGGGTAGTGGAGGATTACGACATTTATACTTACGCGATCTAACCCAAAAACCTTTATGAATATTGGTCGCGAAAGCCGACGCGATAAGCTACATAGTTTTGGAAAATGTTAATTATAAACTATTCTCCATATATGTGAAAAGTGAAAATGCAGCGGATCCATCCTGGATTATTAAGTGATCTCGGTGTGTAGTACATGAGCTTGATTACAGTACAGTATAGCCATTGGTATGTGTCTAACGCAGATGATAATTGTGTGTAAGTCAAATTGTCTGCCCCCACACATGCGTGGTGTGCCGCAGTTGTGGTACGCGGTGTGCCGGCAGGGTACATCACCGACGCTTGCGTGTGCAATACTATCCCGTGTGATTGATTGTGCATTTTCAAAGACATTCCTCAAACACGTGACACTATACATTTGTATAACGAATTGTGCTGTGAATATCTCAACATGAAACCCAGACGTCCTAAGCCCTAAGGTTTTATGGGTACAGAGTGTTAGCCAACAGCGTAGGCAAGAAAACACTCGCGCCTCCTTACACACGATCATCCGTCTGATCTGCCACGGCTCCCGAGTCCCACTGGGTTTGTCACGAGTCGTCGTGACGAGCGAACAGCGCCTCTGCATGGGCGAGCGGTGTACATGGCAACTGCATGTCAGCCCCACGCAACATCATGAGAACGCAGTTGGCATCTTTAAACCACCGACACAAACTCGGGCCTCATCGTGGAAACATTGGGTATAAACTAGTGGATTCCTGTAGACTGCACTCCCAGTTCTATACACAATTGTACATGTGCAGAGTTTAAAATGAAAAGAGGTCATCCATAACTGTGCTACAGTACTGTGAAGTTTTATTTCTTAAACATTTGACTACCAATCTGCACACTTGTGGTAGCATTCGATAATAAAACCTTACCGTAGTAATTGTGTATTATGGCTGTGCAGTGTTTTTCCTGTATGGTAAATGTGTTGATGCATTCACATACCAGTCTGTACCAGTACTGTATTGTGCCACATATGCTCTCCGGTTTAAATACGTGCCAGAATTCAAGAGACCCATATACAAACAAAAATAACCACCCAGAAAAGTGAATACCTTCGACATTAGTGTACGATTTCACTGCCATGCAATCTGCACCACCCAGCATACTCCATCAAAGTTTGAGTTACGCAATCCGTATCGCATTCTACTTAACAGCACGAGTTGAGGTTCACATTATCGCAACGAAATTATACAATGGTAAAAGACAGATCAAGAAGGGAGCGGGGCGGCATGCTGCAGTAGAGGCCAAACCAGCATGCATGTCGCGAATCTATTTGACCGAGAAGGGAAAAGTGCGCAGTGGACTCCAATAACGGCCTCAACTTCTCATTTGGGAGTCGTTTTTTGCCAAAGTTCACGGTTCATCGTTCAAAGCGAGGTGGGGGGGGTCCTTTCTCGCCAGACACGTTCCCTTAAGCTCCACAAGTTGATTGTAAATGTAATCCTGAATGGGGGTTCAGACCGAAACTAAATGTAGATGAGGGTACAGTGGATGCTTACCAACGTGAACGTGACGAAATGGGTGGCAAGGTGAAGTAAATGTGTCGAGAAGAACGGTTGGTCCGAGGACAAGCTGGTAATAGTGGACGAATGGCCTGGTGAGTAAATGTGGAGTGAGCAAATAGTGAATGAAAGGGTGAACGGGGGGGGGGGGGGGGAGTAATTATCAGAAGAGTGCTTCGATGGGCCGTGATTGGGGAGCAGAAGTTGAGTGAATGAATAACATGGTGATGTGAGGGAAAACACCATTAAGGGCCACGGTGCAAATGTTGCCGATGTGAAAGTTCCCTCAACGCCACACCGGCCAACAGGTAATGGGGAAGCAGATGAAGTCTCTCACCAGCCCGTGCAATGAGACCACTTGAATGTGGAGGCCATTGCCAATGTGTCTCAATAAGTTGCATCACTTGCATGACAGTGGTGTTTCTTTCCAGCGCCCCCCCCCCCCCCCCCCACTGCTGCCACAAACTGATATTCAGCATTATTGCACAAGGCAATCACAGCTTGTACGTGAGGGCTGCATATTGTGGCGACCACCAATCCAAAGAACACATGGCACTAATTCATACCTTGTGTCGACTAAATTCAGATTTTAAGTATTGCAGCTCACCCCGCGCAATTGGACAATTGCCTCGAGGCAAACTGTGCGAGTGGTTCCAAAACACCGCCAAATGTTACCACCAATTAGAAAGTGTGCCTTATCACCTTGTTTTGGGAATTCAAACTTACATTAGAACCCACATCTCTTCTACAATTGTTTGTCTTCAATGTTTTGGTTACAATGCATTTACATATTTCAAATGAATAACCGTTAACTTATTGAATTGTTTTTACCAAAGGTGTGTATGTTGGTCATGGTATTAGGGCACGTGATGATTTATATTACCATAAACACAATTGAAACATTAATCAAGGCCAACTTGTATTATGCTTTATTGTCTATTAACCAGTGGCATGTAAACATACAACCTTCTATAGTGGTTTTAAGTTTTGCCAAGGAGTGTATATATGGACTAGGGTCTTGGTTACATGATGCACTGATAAATATATACTAGAATGTGTACTGTTGAATCATTTAATAGCGGTAGTTCAAACAAGACTCAAAACTGATTTGGAAGGGTGGGTAGCCAGTACTGATGGCCCATAACTGAAAATAAACACAGCAATCACTTAAGACGTTAACATCTATTCACAAAAATGCATGACAGGAAGTTTAAACCAATATTCTATATAAAGAGTAAACAACGTCGTCCCTGCAACAGTATAAAGGGCTACCGTAACCAGCATAACAGCCAAGCAAAAAACTGCATGCATAACTCTTCCACCAGATAGTATACATTTTGACGGACGTCTTATAATTGCTTCCTTCCCCCAGGAGTTGTCTGCTTGATGAGCTAAAAAGGATTAAGTATGCATGTCATCAGTTACAGTGAACTCCCTGCAGCAGTAGCAGGTTTTATATTGCTTCTGCTGCTCGCCTGTGTAAACATTTGCTGCGATCCCTCACGATGGGAGTGGGGAAGAGTGGGGAGAGAGGGGAGGTCCGATGCCGCGCCCACAATGCGGCATCAGCCGCGTGCCCCGCGTCTACTACGCCCGCTGCATTTCAAGCAGAGCCTCGACACACACGGATTCTCCATACAACATGAGCGCAGAATTTAATCTAAAAAAAGGCACAACACCGACGACTGTTTCATTCAAGGCAATGCAATCAAACCCTCATAGCCAACATAAAAACCAGGCCTCCATCGCAGTCGTGTTTCCCAACACATTAACATCTTTAATTAAAAACCGACAGGTCATATAAGGAGCTTGGGAGAAATAGGAAATTGACATTGCTCAGTGTGCAGACAATGAGTTGTCTGCAATGGGGGAGAACCGAAAGCCCAAAGTTGACCCGAAGAAGCAACCAACCAGCCATTTACTCCACTCCAACCAAAACAAATTTGACAAAGTATGAATTTGGGCCTCGTACTGATAACATCCACAGTTAGCACTGCATATCTAAATTTCAAAACATTTTAAAACCAGGAATGCAATACTCCCACACCGCCACTGTGTACAAATCAGCAACACACACAGAGCAAAGTTAACAGGAGCAACTGAACAGTATACACTTTATTTGTTTCTGAAATGATTTGCACAAGAATGAGCGAGAAAGAGCAACAACAGCATGAAACCTTGCGCAATATGCATTTAAAGGCCAGAATGGTGCAGTGAGAATGGGTGCACGGCTGGCATAGTTTGTCCGTCACACACGTTCATTCCCAGTTAATCACCACCACTACCACCCACCACCTCCAAACAGCTGCACCAGCAGTCGGGTTGCGTAGCCTGTCTAGATGTGTGACTGCAGCGGTGTAGACTCGATTCTCCCATGAGACACGTGTTTGGGCTCGGGAAGGTTGGGGAGGAGGGGCACACACTGCGTTGTGGGGGCACTCATAAGCGTGGCTTGGCCGCAGCAGGCAGTTTTATTTACACTTGATAAACAAACGAAAACACCACTTCCAGTCATTGGCGAGCCCAGACAAAACGAGGCAAGCCAGCAGGGTTACAGACAAGACAGGTGAGTGTCTCCAACAGCAGACAAGCCATGGTTTAACTTCTTCTGGGGGTAATCTATGTTATACAAGGGGAAATGTTCTTTACAGCGCTCTAAACTAATCAAATACAGAATACATTGTGTGCAATACACTAGTATTCAATTACTGGTTTACAACCGCTAACAAATTAGAGCCTTTAGATTTATTAACTTTTTTATTCTTTCCCGCAAAGCAAAACATTCCTAGGGACATTGTTACCTTGAATAAAATCAGCGACCGTACTGAAAAATCACAACCAGATCTAACATGTTTTGGTCTAATTTATTCATTAAATACACAAGACAAAAAAATTCAATCAACAGCCTTCAGGTTAACTTCATTTTCAGGCAGTGCGAGGAGACAAATCTGCATGACAGTAACATCTGGCACCAAAGGGCAGCCGATTTGAAACTAGTGTGTGGCCACGATCGCAGTTTAGAGGCTCGGGTGGGAGGACAGAGAGCAAGTGCAACCTCATAAAAGCTGACTTTTAAGAGAAGAGAAAGCCAGAAAATGAAGTTAATCCAAATCAAGCCATAATCGACACTACAAACCATCCGGGACGAGGTGGAGACGTGAGTGTCCGCGGAGCGACCCGTCCAACGCCCTCCCCAAGAGCCCGTCCACCACTTGCCACTCTCCATGGGGAGGCACGTGCCGGGCCATGTGGTCATCTTGTTGGGTCAGGGCCGGGAGTGGAGAGAGAAGGAGGGGTTTGAGGGGGGGAGTCTCACACCACCTCTAGCAGCAGCCCCCACCTCCTGTCTTGACGGGAGTGCTCTCGATTTTGACGTTGGACTTTCCAGCGCCAGGCCTGTGTGGCCCCGGGCCCCATGCGCTTCTTGATCTCTGCTGCCATGGTCATGAACGCCTGCTCCACGTTGGTGGCATTCTTGGCACTCGTCTCCAGGAAAGGAATCTCCAGCGAATCCGCAAACTCCTGCAGCCACCGGCGGGGAAGGAGGCACGCACAACAGCAACAAGTTACACAAAATACTCCACGCAAAGACGGTTATAAACACGCTGCAGCCACCCTCGCCAGCTTCTACTGCCACACGCGTGCTCGTGTTGGCAAGTAGGAAATCACAAGCCCTCATGAAGTTGAGCTACAAGTAAATGTTTACTCAATATAAAATGGGGAAGTTGACGTACAAAAATTTAATTAACGAACACTTAAACCTGTAGCAACTGAACAAACACTGAAAGACTTCAGGAAACAACTTGAAACACATGTAGACACCACCAAATAAAATAATTCTCCTCGGAAATTTTAAAAGACACCAATATATGCCGTGCATGGGTACAAGTAAAAGTGAGCAGAAACATTTTGGGGACCGACTGAGACATTCTAAATGTCCCAGTTTCAATTAATAAGTGTCCACAGTTGACAGATCAATGACTTGATCATAAAAATACAGCACAGTACTATTTTCACATTCAACTGATAATGCCAGCCAAGTATTTTTAAGCAACTGTGTACACATTTAAAACCCTTTATTTGCACATGTACATGTTAATTAGATAATGAACAAAAAATAATAAATCAAGAGCTTACATAAGTCACAGAGAGAACATCAAGATTTTTTATATCGGTGTTGCCACCCACTGGATACTTCTGGTTATCGGACCTTATAACATTCTTGACTGGACATAAACCCTTGTAATTCAAGATGTGCCATAGAACTCCTGTGGCAAATGATAATACTGGCTTTGAAGAATGCTCATTAATTCACAACACTGCTTGAAGGTGGACCAATGGAGTATATCTTGAATTCACTCAATTGTTTTACTCTATGATGAACTAGACTAATCCATTAAACAATTACTTTAAATAGTGTTATCATTGCTTTCTACCCTCTTTAAACGGTGAGGTATGGCATTTTGACATTCATGTGGTTATCAACCACACCGTTTTCATAGCCGCACCATTCTTGAAAGAGACCAAGGTGTCAATGGGTTCTCTCGCACCTTGTTCTGAGATTCTGTCTGCAATGGCTGGCACAGACACAGTGCGCAAATGATTAAATAAATCTCTGTGCTTTCACTCGGCTAGTATTATAATGGCAGAGAATATCTATTTTACCTAGTTAAACAAGGTTAAATCAAGCTCAATTCCCTCCAGGATTTATTTTTTTAAAGGTACCACTTTGTGGAAAAGTCAAAAAGTGGTAGTTGGTGGACTGGTCCATGCCACAAACTTTTAATTTCAAACACTGGCTCAAGATCACAAATGGAGACGAGTGCTTCCCAATCATCAATTCAGAATTGATTAAAAATAAATGCACAAGATGAAGCACAAACATATCAATACAACGGCAGCAAGTAGCAGTCCAATAACTTTACTTCTCTTGATGTTTCGCAACGGAACAGGTGTGTGCACAGCAAATTTGACTCGAGCAAAGTAAAACACACTTTGCCTCGGGGTAAGCAATTTATGAAAATCTGTGGCCTGTTGCAATAAAGAACTTGAGCGTTATTCTTACCCTAACCTGTACCGCTCTATGACCAAGATAAGTTTCCCTTAGTGCGTTTATGCAGCCAACCACTCGCCCATTAGGATGAGGTGTTTCCAGTTAAAGTGCTCATGTAAGCTTCACTCAATGCTGCCACAATTAGAAAATAAATCCGCTTCACGCTTTCCAACCAAAGCAGACTACTTGCCAAGAAAGAGGAAAATGTTTAAGTTTATACAATTTGATTGTATCACAAGATGGGGGACAACAGATTCCTGGAGGAAGATGGAGGTGGAAAGGTGGTCAGTGTTTTGTACAACGTGGTGTGGGGGGTTACAGTAGACAGGGTGGGCAGAGGACGTACATTAACAAGGATGCTCTAAATAGTATTCAAACTGGCCACTGCAGGTGCAATCACCTTTTCGCAAGCAAATAAAAGAACCACCCAAATGTGGCTGCAGCATACCATAACAAAGTGGAACACATTGTGAACTCGTGTGCACTGCAAACGTTCTTAGTTCTCTAATGCCAGCAGCTGGATGCACAGCTTGGACATCGATTTAGAGTTGCCACTTAATTCATATCCATTTGAAAGAACAAGTACAGACAGATAAATCTAAAGATTGATCAACCGATTCCACATTGTGCAACACAGAAAGGATAAAGAGGGCAAAGAGGTGGAGGGGGGGTTGTGGAGCAGTACGGATAGGGGGAGGAAAAGGGAGAGGCCATGAAGAAACCACAAAGGAGTGGCGACCCCACCCTCTACAACGCGAATGTTCGTACGTGTGCATTCGCTTCACGTGCGGTTCTGCACATGGGCATGTGTGTGTGTACATGTCTTTGTGAATCTTATTTTAGGTGTTTGTGTTTGGTGCACTGCAAACATAACAGGGCAGACAAAGTCAATGAACTAGGTGCTGGACACCCCCCCCCCCCCCCGTGCATGACGTTAGACAGAGAAGGTGCTGGGTAAAAGCACCTGTCCTGACCGTCAGCATATGGCTGACTTCAGATCTTGGCATACACAGCACGTTAGCTTAATGCCTCTCAGACATTTTATTACCAACACAACTTGTGAAATGTATGTTTTGTGTGTGCGTACTTTTGAAATGAAATAACGTATGGTTGTTTAAATGCGTGCACGTTCATTTGTGGGGGGTTTTGTACATGTTAAAACAAGGATTACAAAAATCCACCATTTTGGAATTCAGACATTGTAACTTATTTGCACCGATATAGGACGTGGGGGTGCTATTACACACGCATGTTTATCCGCAGGTAAGCAGAAACACTTGGCACGTGTATAATAGAAGAGGATAAACTAAGTCTGCATTTACCTGAAGCTTGGTTTCCCAGGCAGCCATTAGCATGTTCCACACTCCCTATTTGCCCACTTGGATAAGGACATTGTTGGTAAATAGTGGTTTGTTGCACTTGTTCCATTCATTCAGGGTGTGTAAGAGATAGTTTAGTGGTTAAGCTTTGCAATAATCAACGGGTATCCAGTGTGGAAAGTCACGTGAATTGCGAGTCGTGTTGCCCCCTCCCCCACATAAGCGATGGATTTTAATGTTAGAGACTTCTGATATGCTGTGCATAGAACCGCATTCAAGATGTGGAACATACCAACAGCTGCTGCATATAAAAAGGAGTTTCACTGTATTGGGAAAATGTGCGGGTTTCATATTGTAATACTCAAATTGAAAGTGAAAATTTGGAACTTTCCTCATTTCCAGTTAAATCCCTGTAGTTCAATGTTTGTTGTTTTTGTTTTGTAATCACTCATGCTTATTTTTTTAATATTTTGAAATATTTGCCGAGCAGGATCACAGTAAATTATTAACTAAATAGGTAACACTGACAGGGCCCAGTTGACAGGAGTGACACTTACCATCTTTTCAATTCAAAGTAGTTTTTAGGGGCCCTCTTGGAAACAGTATTATTGGCAGTTTCTTTACAGCCAAAGAACAAAAAATGCAAGGAATGTGCTCTTAAAGGCCTGGAGCTATGCATGGCAAGCCAAACCTGCTCTCCCAAGCTGGCCTGCTGAACATAACCTTTCATACCTCTTGTGATTTGAAAGTTCAATTAAGATAAGGGATCGAGGATTTTTATCCTGGATAAATTAACTTACGAGTTTCATTTTAGTGGCACAAAGTTTGAATTTTGTTGTAAAAACAGACACTTAGACCCAGTTTAGTGTGCTATAAATTACAGAATTCTCCAGCCCTAGTTTGAAAGAAAGCTTATACAGTATTGCTTTCAGTCAGTAAAGTAAGTTATATTGGCTATGCACAACCCTACAGAAGATAGTAATAGTTCACGATGTAAGAAACATTTTTATGAAGGTATAAACCAATGAAACAGATACCAGAATACCGAGGATAATTAACAGAGAAAGGCCACTTTTTATCATACACCAATTCATGACAGTAGATTTCACCTTAAGATTTTAATGGTTGATGACTGCATTAAACCTGTTGAGTTACAAGAATTGTTTAATTCCTCACAAATGCCTGGGGGGGCTTGTTAACTTTTGGAGATAGGAAGACAGCTATTTTGAACACATATCGTTGGGAAACCTGGAAAGAATTTGCTTTATCTTCAAACTAAATGTCATCACATCACATGGTAAAGGACAGGGCACTTTGTTTATGGGCCCCAAATCTCAATTTTAAGTGCCCATAAACATGTTTTTGCGTGTCATTCAGAAACCGTTCAAAATATAACATTGCGTTATTTTCGTTTCATAGAGCGTTAAACATAAAATAGAATTAAAATGAGAACCACTGTTGTATCTTTTATTATTTTTCAGATATTAAGGTTTCAAGCGGTTTGAACAAAAAAAATGCATTTTATGATGTTCAAATCTCAAGAATTAGAAAACGGGTAAAATATAGGAGCTTCCCCTAAGAGTATTAAGTGGACACATTTTTGTTCTTTCTAAAAAAAAAAATCTTTATATTGAGCGGTTTCCGATGGGTACGTCTTTAAATATAACAAGGAGAATCAAATCGTCTCCAACTTCTCCAAAATAATAATTTTCTACACATTTTGGAGTATATATATATATATACACACACATTTTGGAAGTGTCTGATCTTTGATACAAAGTGTTAAAAATCATTCTTTGGGTCTTTCGGTAAAGTCACGTAGATAGGTTAAAGAAAAATAACAAAACTATGACGTTTCGATCACAACACAAGCGTTCGTCATCAGGAAGAAAATAGAGGGATAAAACTGCTGAAGCAGACTGTTTTAGCAGCTTTCCCCCTCTTTTTCTTCCTGATGACGAACGCTTGTGTTGCGATCGAAATGTCTTAGTTTTTGTTATTTTCTTTGAACCTATCGACGTGACTTTACCGAAAAACCCAAAGAATATGAATTCCTGCAGTCACGAAAGCTTTAAGTCAAGAGTTAAAAATCATATCAGGTTTTATCTAATAAGCTGAACACATCCTAATATACAGAGGACTGCAGAGCCTGGGCAATTTGCTATTGCTGGCTCACCACCTGGCTGCCTTCCAGCTTGTCAGTAGTTCCTCAAAGATTGCCATGTAGAACACGAACACTTTTTTTATGCATCTACATGTAAAGGTGACCCAGGTATAGGCAAGCTCTCACAAAAAGGGCTAAGGCACATGTCTATTCACATAGTATATTTAATGTTACTCATAGTCAAAGTTAAAATTGTTTCCTTATTCGCCGATGTAAAGCTACATACAGCAATTACATTGGGGAAACAAAACGACATGTCTCGGACCGTGTTCGCGAACACAAGGCAGAATTGAAACACGGCAGAACCAATATCTCTGGCGTGGCTGATCATTATTATAACGCAGTGGGTTCGCGCGATATTGTTTTTTCCAAGACCAAGGTACTCTGCAAACCTTCGGGCTACCATCAAAGATTTGTCCATGAAGCCATCCAGATATATAAACAGACAATTTCAACCGAGACTATGGGTATAAGCGGAGCAATCATTGGAAGGACGTTATTAACCAAGCAAAGTCCTAACTTGCTGTGGTGCTTCCATTCTTTCCTGCCGTTTGGCTGTTATCTCCGACTCTCTGAGTTGCATTGCCCTGTTAGGTGCCTCTGCATTAACGGGCTCGGGTGTCTCACTAACATGCCACCTCTGCTCCCTTAGCCTCGATGTATCGATGGTTCTGGCTGTGCGTCTCACTGGCGAGACCACTGTTGCGGTGGTTCTCTTGCATGGACGTGCTTGCCTCTCACAGCACAATTGGCAGCACCGCAGCTTGTGTTACACAGACATGACACTAACTTGGTGGTACACGTTATGTACATCGTTTATTGTTCAATTTGAATAACAGTTCCTATGATCACTGTTACATTGTTTTTATAGCTTTATTTTGGTGATTTTGAAAACGTTTTGTTGTAGTACAGATTTAGCCTGATAACTGTAATCTATTCTTTGGTTTTTTCGGTAAAGTCACGTATAAAAATAAAATAATAAATTAAATAATAGCATACGACGTTTCGATTGCAACACAAGCAATCATCATCAGGTATAATGAAATAGCGACATAGAATATAACCAGAAAACTATAGACAGACATATAAGCAGACAGATATCACCAAGATACATAGAGAGAGCAACCCAGGTACAGAGAGGTGATCGTCTCTGTGGGGTGGCCTTAAATAGACAGAGGGGGGCGGAGGCAGAGAGAGGGAGGGGGTAGGGAAAACATTTACATGTCAATGAGTACGAAGGGAGGGGAGTAAGGTAAGCAGGCTTAGAGGGAGACAGAACACACTAAATTAAATAACCTAGCAAAGTATCGAAATGTTATGTAAAACGACACAGAGAGTCGGTTTTACATAACATTTCGATACTTTGCTAGGTTATTTAATTTAGTGTGTTCTGTCTCCCTCTAAGCCTGCTTACCTTACTCCCCTCCCTTCGTACTCATTGACATGTAAATGTTTTCCCTACCCCCTCCCTCTCTCTGCCTCCGCCCCCTCTCTGTCTATTTAAGGCCACCCCACAGAGACGATCACCTCTCTCTGTACCTGGGTTGCTCTCTCTATGTATCTTGGTGATATCTGTCTGCTTATATGTCTGTCTATAGTTTTCTGGTTATATTCTATGTCGCTATTTCATTATACCTGATGATGATTGCTTGTGTTGCAATCGAAACGTCGTATGCTATTATTTAATTTATTATTTTATTTTTATACGTGACTTTACCGAAAAAACCAAAGAATAATTCCTGCAGTCACGAAAGCTCCAAAATTAAAACTGTAATCTACATTGTCTTATGGTTATTGTTTGACTTGCATCCCACACGGATTTTTGCACACAGTATTGAAATACGGTGTTTTTTCTGGAAGAGGTTGTGGTTTTTTCCAGGATTTTTCTGTTGCATGTAGTCACTTGAAGATGTTTTTGCTTTGTTGCGGTTGCACCCATGTCAAGAGCTGCATGGCTCACAGGGTTATACCTAATAAATGGAACAGAACTGAACTTGCTAATCCCCCTAATCTATCTGCCTATTCTCTCCCATCAACAGTTCTAATCTCCCATTAAAACTGCTGTTGTGCGCATATGCGGGGACGATACTCTTATGCGGCGAAGCTAATTTCATGCTAATCTCTCCCTAATCTCCCCCATTAACACAACTGACGTGCTTGCATCCGGGGATAGAATTCCTTTCCAGCTCAGACCCCACCTGTTTGCCCTTTGCCACATATATAATCTCTTGTTGTAACAGCTCTCTCTCACTGGTTCAGCAGTTCCACTGCTGGATTATTTTTTTCCGCCTGAGGACCGCTTGTGTTGCGATCGAAAAGTCGTGATATTTTTTTACTAAATGTTTCTACCTACGTGACTTTACCAAAAGAACCAAAGAGTAAAGCTACATACCATAACATTCCAGAAAAAAAATTGCTAAGAATTTTGGAATGGGCAAAGATCCACAAAACCAACTGACCAAAATAAAAATGGGACATGTTCTGGTGACTTAATATGCACATTCTATTGCAGGACCAGCCCAAAAGTGTCCCTGGTGTTTTATATAAAAGTCACCAAAGACTGCAACAACTTTGGCCAACCGGCCACTATTTTAAAGGAGCACAACATTTAAATGTCCTGGAACCACAATTGAAATGCTTATTTTCAGTTAAAGAGGCCTATTGCAGTTAGTGTTAAACAGGCTAATAAGATGCAACCTCAGTGCAGATGTAGTCATTGGTGGCAAACATTTGTTACAAAGGTTGAGCCATATAATGGTAGCACACTGGGCCAAGGGGCATCGGCTGCGGAACCATGGCTAAAATGTGTCAAAAGGCACGCAAATTCTGTTCCACACTATTTTAAAAGTGAAGTGAACATCTTAATAACATTAACATACATTTTTTTCTATATGGGTTCTATTATAACACATTTGAGGTAATTTATAGCTAAAAATCTTTCCATTGATCAATGTGCCTTGGAATATAGGCATTATAAAACTCGGTTTCAGTATTTATTTGCGTCTTATATCGCAAAATGTACTCTAATTTAAATTGCGGTGGATGCTGTGATGTTCTACACCAACTTCCATCGTGCTAACAACATATAGAACACACTTTAAGGATTCGGCTATGAATATACTGCTAATAGTTTGTACATGACCGGGTGAAAACCAAACAATGGAATACTGATTTATCTCAATAACTGTTGAAATTGGAAGAGTGAAGATGAGGGGCTGTGAGAAACAAAGCATTACCACACCTTGGCAGTCGTATAGTCCACCACTTTCTTGGTGGTGAGGTCGCATTTGTTGCCAACAAGCAACTTGTTGACGTTCTCGCTGGCGTAGCGATCAATCTCCTGCAGCCACTGCTTCACATTGTTGAAGGACTCCTACACCAAGCAACGGAATGCGACTGTCAGTAAAACATTGCGTTGCATTTGTATCGGTAAATTATGCACTACAGAACCCAAACAGCATAGACATCAGGAACTGTATTATACTATATATTGATTGCTAACTAAAATACAAAACTACATGGTAATCAAGGTCTAAAATAGTATAAAGTACAGCTCTTACATCAATCCACTAGTGGATGAAGCCATCCTCACAACATGTTTGCTGTAGGGGTTATTTGAACATACTTCACCATACTGGTCAGTGCAGCTTGAAGGCAGGTGGGAGAGCACTGGTTCAGATATCACTTGCCACTGCTGTTAGCCATGCAGTGCAATGCAAACAATGTCATGGCTAATCAGAACAAGGTTAGAGTAGGGTATGAAAGTGAACAGACGGCACCAGAGTTCTGGGGTTAAAGGCATTCACAGTGCACAGAATGAGAGATGCAATTACATTTCAAAATCGAGCGTGGTTACATGTGTACCTGATCCGTGACGTCGTACACCACAATGATGCCGTGGGCGCCCCGATAATAGCTGGAGGTGATCGTGCGGAAACGTTCTTGTCCTGCCGTGTCCCACTGCACACATATACACAACTTGTTAAGGCACTACCGGGTGATGTTTAGCACGTTGTAATATCAATTTAACAAACATATGGGAGCTGGAACAGACTATTGTCACAAAGTAATTTGGATGGTTCGATTCCAAAAGCAAAACAGTAGCTTATGATGTCTGTCATGAAGTGGATAGGTAATTGGAGCCTGACATTAAGTGCATTCATCCATTATATACTGCTACCAAGCTTAAAATTTACCCAAGGAAACTTTGCAAATAAAGAAATATGTTAAACTTGTAGGCTTTCGCAACCAATATTATTCATAATAAAGATTTTTTTAGGATAGAGTTAAAATAACGCCATATTTATATTTACGCGATCTAACCAAAAAACCTTTATTATGAAGTATTTCAGAGCACTAAGTTAATTGAAATATTTTACCTGGAAAATCCTTTGAGATGGAACATGTTGTACTTTTTACATTATATGTATTCATGTGTAGTTATAAATAATCCTGATAGCACTACTTAAAATGAGGACAATTTGTCACAATATAAACTGTAAAGTCAGTTCTCCTATAAGGTGGTAGTTGTTCCTGAAGAACACGCGTTATGGAAAAATCAAGTGAAAATAACCGTTGAGTCAATGGGAATTAAGATGTTAAGGGCTCGGTTTCATAAACACCAACATGACTGAAATTTTTCATGATAATTTGTCCTATTGTTGATTTTAAGTGTTCTTTTATAATGACCATGTTTAAGTTTGATAACATAATTTATGGATCAAATAAAAAACATTAAAATGAGTGAAATATGCATGTTAGTGTTAATCGCTAAGCAATAGAAAACGTAGCCGTGGAGGGTGAAGAAAAAACGATGAAGGGTGTTAAGTGACTCGCTTAACAGATTTTAATAATATTCTATGGGTCTTTCGGTAAAGCCACGTAGATAAAAAAATATCACGATGTTTTGATCGTAACAAGCAATCGTCTTCAGGTGATGGACGATTGCTTGCGTTGCGATCGAAACGTCTTGATATTTTTATAATTTTTCTATCTACGTGGCTTTACCAAAATACCCATATAATGTATTCCTGCAGTCACAAAAGCTTTAAGTCAAGATTTAGATTTTAATACAATCTTTTAAAATAAAAAATGTATAACCATAACAAATATTTATGAAATGTAAATAAACTCATTGTTTTTAACACTTACCACAAGATAAGATGGCTGCTTAAGACGAGTAGGCTAAAGCACAGTCCGCGATAATGTGAGATGCGTATGCAGGCCGAACAAAGACTGAGGTGCATGGGTAGAATCTAGTAGTATTCCGCCTTGTGTGATGCGACAAAGGCAGTCGCACAACCGCTTATTCCTAGTCGCGCGACGTAGTTCTATTCACTCAATCACGTTGTCCAATTCTCATCCGTATTAAAAAAAACGTGTTCCCCAATAAATTCAGCGTGTTGTATCCAATTGGCGTTATGAAAACACACGTTGTCGCAGAACCCACTGTATAACCATGACAGCCGCTTGATGACATGCGAGAACAATGGATGACAAAATGATGAGCATTGCATACATGGGGAGACAGTAATACTCACTATCTGGAGCTTTATGGTCTTTCCATCCAGCTCTATTGTTCTGATCTTGAAGTCCACACCGATTGTGCTGATGTAACTTTCTGTGTAGGTGTCATCCTGTGGGGGAAAACAGTGGTCAGGGAGCACTTCCGAGTCACTCGGTGTATGTACATTATACCTGGGCGTTGAGGCCTGGAGAAAGGCTGTAAAATTATGAGATCAACCACAGCACTTACTGAGGCAATAGAAAAAGCAAACGTTGTAGAGATTGGCTCTGTGGCAAGATTTCACCAAATTAATGAACGTTTGACTCATGCGTTAACTACATGCATACGAGGGTGTTTCAATAAGAGACAATAGTTATTTCCAAAGAACATGTGTTACTGAATACGCCAGAAAATGTATCCACGAAGTAATCCTCTCCCAAAATGTACTTGTCCCAGCAGCCCTCCAGCTTCCTACTCAGAGCAGCACAACTGTTATGGTTGGTCCCCAAGTCATGCCGGCAATACGGTCAAACCACATTCCACATAGTTTCCTTCAGGGAGGTCCAAAGAGCCTTGCATACATCGTTAACACAACCATGATTCAGTGTTGCAATCATATTGAAGCATCATTCTTCAATAGATTTCTCTCGCCCTTACATCCTCAAGAGGACAATAAATAACAGCTTGCTGCTATTGAAATGTGCAAAGGTCCTGCCATCTTTGATTACGTGATACCAGGTACATAGCCAATTGACGAAGAAATTTAAATTGGGGAAAAACGCTTTACTTTTTACAACACCCTCATTAAAAAAACAAATTTAGAATAACTCCCTCTACCTGTGATAACAATGTACTAATGAACAAGATTACGTCTTCAAAAACAATATTATATTTGACAGATGGATCACTTGGGTGTGGACTCAATAAGACCAATGTGTCTTCATATCGTGCTGTTGGGAATTAAAATTCTGCCAAAGGAGTGTAGGCCTGTGCCCTCATCGAATTAGTTTTAAGCACAGCTAACCATGTTTGGGCAGCATGCGTCATTGCTACAACTGTAGTACTTAGAATTCTCAAATTGTACAGTGGTTTGACTTGATTGTTTGTCTACCATTTGTCAAGAATGCCGTTTATGTTACAACTAGTTATGTTCGAGATAACTTCCTTTTGTATTCGATCTGTCATTTGTGCAGGCCAAATAAGGGATTAACGGAGTAATGTAGCAATTTGACTCCCTCACGATGAGATGAATCGTTGTGATTCGGAGTAGAAATATGATTTCAGAATAATGTATTGACATTGTAGTCAATGTAGCACATGTAGTGGCTGCAGGGTCTATACAAAGAAATGAGATACAACATAAGGGTAAAAAACCCAACAATCTTGCATACATAATTATACACGTATTGTGAGCATGATAATGTATTGCTTACTAGCAGGTATACCCGATCTTCGCACGGAAATAGTTTAGTCCATCACAGATGTGACGTCACCGCTCACTTGCTGTGCAATCGATTTCCATTATTGCACCCCCCCCCCCCCCAAAATACAAAAGTCTATTTTTTTATACTTTTTGCATTGTGTACAGTCTGGAAGCTACCCACATGCCAAATTTCAAGTTTGTTGCATGTTGGGAAGTATGCTAAACATTTCGAACAGACACATTCACAAATTTCCCTTTTATATAATAGATTTACATGTCTGGACCTCAATGAATACTAAAACCTTAACCTACAATGAAAATACATTACAAATGAAAGATATCAAAAGCATTCATGTTTTGCATCAGTGATTCATGATAGTGAAACAAATTCTAATCGCCAACTAAACAAAGAGAATTTTTACTTTACTTACGCTACAAAAACACATCTAAACCATGCATTGCTACTAAAGCGTTCATTCCCATGCAAGTCAAAACATGGCAAACCTGCACACCAATCATTGCTCTCACTACTTTGAGAGTTTTTGGAAAACTACCTTAATTTGGCAGAATTTTGGAAATCTCCACTTAACTATATACAGTATTATAAAGCAGCATAAGTATTGGTCATTCCATCTTCAGAGCTTCCACTGAATACTACAAAACACATGTTTTCAAAAGAAAGCCGTCTCTGGTGTAGACCAATCAGTTTCAAGGACAATGCATATATTATCAGTGTTTTTTGTTTGCATTTTGACCACAAGTATGCACACATGATTCCTTGGAAAAAGGTTTCAGTTTTGTTGCCAGAAAAAAGGGGAAAACCCCTATTATATTTTGGTACTGGCAAAATAGGTCTAATGATGTACATGTTTCCAAGTTTAGCTTTAAATACTGGGAGTTTCCATGAAACCCTAAGAATATTGTTTTAAGTAAATATCTGCGTGCCTAAAGCATTTAACTGAACCTTGTTTCCCCCAAAACCTATGAAGCCTTATTATACAGTTATGTACACTTTCATATGTCCGTTATGAAAATGTAATTTGTCAATTGGTATACAAGAAAATCAGTAACATGCTGCAATGTATGTAATCCAGTGAACTTACACAGGACCATCAACGAATGCTTTGTGCGACAATCTTATTAATCCGGACGAGCATATGAACTACATCTAAAGGTTACCTAAACATATAGAAATGTAAGGTATACACACTTGTAAGCTAATTCATGAGTGTGAATTGGTGCAACACATGCTGCACCACCAATCCACTTGCTATGATGCAAAATATTGAAGTCCCCTTCCCATGAAAGAGTTTTGAAAGTGATGAAGAGGTGATTACTTCATTGAAATCCCGGTTTCAGAGGCAAAAAACACATTACTTGGTGGCAGGAAACTCACCCACCGCTGGGTAATGTATGTGACGCTGGTTGGAAACTACACAGACAAGGAATAAACATCTTTGCCAACTTTGCTAGCACAGGTCGATTCCCCTGTGGTGCGGGGGAAATGTTTTGATCTTCCCTCATGCTTCAGCTCATAAGCTATTTTGGTGGAAGGCTTAATGAAAGACGTGACATCACTAAGATGAGCAAGTGGACAAACACTATATTTTACAAGAATAGACGTCAGCCGATAAGCAGTCCTGGCTAATCAATAAAATGAAAACAAAGGTGTAACAGATCAACATAGAGAGAGGGTAGTTGGGGGTGGCACAAGCCAGTGTCATGCAGTACCACACTACCGTATACGTGGATCAGCCAAAGGCACCATGTGGGGTACACACCTTGGTAACCTCTGCCTGAATGCTGCTCGCAGTGTGGAATGGACTTTGATCGGAGAAACACCACGTTTCCAGTCCAAAACGTCTAAAACACGGACTGCATCTTTTCAAACATTACTATATTAAAACTAAACATGACGAATGTTAGTCTGCTGTTGCTGATGCAGCAGATAAAAAAAACATTGTATAGTTAGTCTTTCAATAAATAACTACGCTAAAATTGACCAGTCCTTGTCCTTTTAGGCACATATCTAGGGTGGTTAGAACTCCATTCTTTCACCTTAGAAATATTGCCTGGCTGCATCGATTCCTGACACCTCATTACTTTGAGAGATTGGTTCATGCTTGTGTTCGCCCAACTTGATTACTACAACGCATTACTGTTCGGGATTCCGAGTGAGGTCCTGGGTTCGACTCCACCTCGTTCAGAATGCAACTGCGAGAGTGCTTACGAATACACCGTTTCACGAGCACACATTCTCTTGTCTATGCACTGGCTACCAGTCAAGTAGTAAATTATAATATACTGCTGCTGACCTACAAGGCTCTGAATGAATTCGCTCCACAATGTTTATATTCAAAATATGCTCCTGAGATATTCGGATCACCTTCTCAGTACCTCGACATCAAGACTCTGTTCCTGAGCTGATTGGGCTTTTGCCAGTGGAGCTCACAGACCACGGAACACTGTACCTTTGGTAATAATACAAATGTAGTCAGTCGAGCTATTCATGTCCTTCTTGAAAACTCACCTTTTAAATTGGCTTTCACTTATTAGTTCAGGCCATTTACCCTGGTTCTGTTTACATCCTGCCATCCACACCTATTTGCATGGTTCGCTACGTATGGTGCGAAGGAAGTTCACCATACATACATACACGCACATGGTGTATTGAAATCTATGGAAGAAATTCGCCTTTTACATGTCAATTATTAATATTATGACGTACTGGGTGATCACAATTTACATGGCTTACATTCCGACAGTGGATGGTAGTGCGATGGGTTGAGGGAGAAGCGTTACGACTCCACCTGCATTTTTTTCTATAACCACCTTCAGTCTGAAATTTATCCCCCTTTCCCCAATTTGGGGCATTAGGGCAGAGGCCTAATGAGCCTTCGAATACATGCCGACTTGAACTGTGGCCTACATCATTGAGTCTAATAAGTATACAGACCACGTCTTATTTGAGGATCCTGAGGGTGTTAACTGGTTATCCAGGTCAGGATTTTTAGTCAGCAGGTCAATACATATGGGTAGGAGTAAGTAATTATCAGTGAGCCTCAGGGGCTCCGACGTCAGAAATTAGGGTCAGCTGGCACGCACCACCAATCACTGTGGATGGGCGCTTCAGCCTGCACCAACACGCTAGCCTTACAGCCCTTGAGACTCTTCATTCTCTTAAATGTAGGGCAGCAATATAGTTGCAGCAGTCAGCCAAATCATGCCCCATATGGAGATAGAAAAAAGGTGTGGCCATGCCTTTCCTCAAAGGGACCTTGTAATTCTCGAATGGTCGGTTTCATAGGGGAGTGGCCTGTTTGGGCAATGACATGAGAAATGGCAGGGAAATAATTAACCACAGGAAAAGTGCTTAGACCATGAAAAGTGATGCACAACCCGAGACATGCTTAAACATCAAAATCCCCCAGTTTGAGAGCCCTAGGGATAAAGAGAAGGGAGCCCATGCCATACATTTACCTCACGTTAACCGGGACTCATAGGGTACACCACAGTGGAGAGAAGTATTGAATTATAGCTCTATTATCTATCGAACAAAATGTATATAGGTCAACTCCACGAACATGCTATGCATGACAGCAAAACTAATAGAACTTAATTTTGATACATTTAAAAGAATAATCACAATTGCGTTGATGCTGTTGCAATAAAAGTTACAAAAAAAAACAATCTTGTAAATGGTGAAT